ATGGATACAGTAAGATGGCAGCCACCTCTCTACCTCATTCAACTTCATTGACTTTGAAAAGGCCTTCAGCACACAACGTCGATTGAGAGATGATTTGGCAACTACTTCGCTACTACGGGCTACAGCCGACAATTATACACCTCATCCAACAGTTGTACGACAATGCTGCATGCCAAGTAATCCACAACGGGAAACTCATGGAATCCTTCGAAGTGAACACGGGAGTAAGACAAGCTGGCTACCTACTATCTCCAATGATTTTCCTGACTGTCGGTGGTAGAATGGGTAATGCAAGTGACAGTGGTGGTCAACGAGGAGACAGACATAAAATGGACCCACGCAAAAAACTTGGAGTACCTGAACTTCGCCGATGATATAAGTCTGATTCCCTCAAACTGGTATATATGCAAGTGAAAAACAACAGGTTTCCGATAGAAGGAGCATACAGAAAAGATAGGACTTCAGTTGCAAGTAGAAAAAACAAAGGTGGTGGAGATTCCTGGCTAACAGCAACAGCAACATGAACAATCAGCATAAGCGGAAGAAATCTGAAAGGAGAAATCTCCGTTACTTACGTGGGAAGCATCGTTTCAACTACAAGCGGACGAAATTGATGAGGATATCAAAGCAGTGAGGATCGGGAAAGCAAGGAAAGCTTTCATTACTCTCAGGTCTGTGTGGAGGTCAACAGCACTCAGCATGGAAAACAAGATCCGGATTTTCAACTTCAATGTGAAGTCAGTGCTTCTTGCTTTACAAATCAGAGACTTCGCGCCGCGTCACGAAAGGCACTTCGAATAAACTACAGACCTTTATCAACAGCTGTCTTCGCCCAATACTGCTAAATATCAGATGGCCGGCCAGAAAGGATCAGTAACAGGGATCTCAGGCAATGAGCGAACCAACCCGGCAGGAACCAGTTGTACAAGAAATCTGCAGGAGGAAATGGAGGCGTATTGGCCATACTCGGAGAAAACCATCAAGTGACATCTCACGCTAGGCTATTGCTCGGGTGGAACCCGAATAGGAAGCGGTGAGTTAGTTGGTCGTCAGTACGAGGGTGGAGTGACATGGAGGAGGCCATGTGAAGAGGAGATGAAAGCATGTGGGTTGACTTGGAGCCAGGTGAAAACGTTGAAAGAGAACCGGGGGCAATGGAGACGTGCGAGTGAAGCCCTATGTTCTTCTAGGAATTAAAGGAAGAAATAATAATAATACAGCGAGATAAGCACACCAACAACAAGACGCAACAAGAGTGGGTAGCACCCAGAAGGTTGGAGAGGCTTCGCTCGAAACTATTTGATGGGGTAACAAGTGTGGAATTTGTTAATGACGCAGTTTATAAGTAGCATACAGATGCAGATATACTCGGAGATTAGGAGGAAATTATGCCAACTTGGCAAACATTTTAATTAAGACTTGGAATTTTATTTTAAACAAAGTTTTTTTCCCCACTACAGCTGATTAGCTCTCCACTATAGATACATTTTATTATCTGACTAATTAAGTGTGTCAAGGTCACTTGGCTGAATTGATTTCTTTCAAAAGAAATAACAATCAACACTTTAAAATGTTGCCCACATATATGCATAATTATTAAAAGCAAAAAGGGCGTTGACGATCAGACATTGCAGAGATAAACAAAATAAATGAATAAATAAGTAGCCAGAATGATATTCTGTTTTTCTCATATTTAGATCACAAAATAACTTCAGTTAGAGAATCATTGAAGAGCGGTAGGGAATACTAGATACCAGCTGTTTCTTCCTAGTCTGTCACTTTTCAACAGTGTGGACTTATGAACCCACTGGAGATTGAACCCAACACCATCAGGTCACAAAGTTGTTGTTGTTGTCCACTTAGCCACTGAGATGGGATCCAATAGCCCATGATTTCTAACTTCTATTAGTTTATAAGTTTTAGAGGGACCTCAAGTCAACGTCATCGACGAATACTTGTCCATACACCCGACCTAGATCAGACATTGTCCTTACCTTGGCCATCTAGGTTCGAATGATCCTCAATTTTTGTAGAAATTTCTTTAGTTTTAGTTAATATTCTATTTGCTATTATATTTTTATCATCATTATTATTTTTATAATTTATGCATCTTTAAAACAAGCAACATCTTTAATGAACTGTAATTCCATTGATCTTACTTTACAAATCGATAATATTTAACAAACACTAATATTGTTAAAACCAACCATTCTAGAATATTCTATGTACATACATATATATATATATAATTGTAGAACCAGAATAGGGAATTATCGAAAAGGATATTTTCTGCTCAATTATTTCGTGTTTTATAGATATTATAAGTGACAAGGAGTGGATGCATCTGTGCCAGCCATTGAGAACGATCAATTTGGGCTATATCACCAATTGTCTCCAGTCTTCATTAGTTTTTACTGCCCCGGGGACTCCGACCAATCAGGAAGTCTACACCTTCCTACGTGGCTGGCTTAAACTAACTGTTGTGGATTTCATTGACTGATGAAGCTATGTTTTTGTTTCACCACCATTGGCTCTTTCCTAACCTCACTGATCCTATCTTTGTCAGTCGGGTAACATTTCCCCTTGTCGAGGAAGGTGATGGCTAGGCATACGTAACACATATTCTTACTATATCAGTCGACGTAATTTCACAGCCTCGTTGATTGATTTCCTCTCCTGACGTAGCACTCGATGGATGCCTAACCTCAATATTACTCGACTTATTATACTACTTAACACGGGAGATAGAACACATGTGCCTATGATCGAAGACAGCTAGCCTTTTCACGTGCTCCACTCTCAATGGTCAGGTCTCACAGCCATAAGGGAGGACGGAGCGGACTTCTGAGCAGTACACAGCTCTTTTAGTCGATAGCCAGGTATATCACGTCTACGCCAGAGACGGCGTAAACTGGAATATACCCAACGAGCCTTCTGTATCCATGCTGAGATTTCGTCAGCGATCAACCTGCTGACGTTGGCTGATGAAACTTCCCAAGTGAGTGAAGCGGTCAACACTCTCTACCACTTCACTTCTTGTTTCTAATCTAGCAGTCAATGTAGTCTAGTCCTATAGCATTATCTTACATTTGGTGAGAGCGAATCGCATGTCAAACAATCGCTCGAAGTGTTCAAAAGACTCTGCATTCTGTCAGCGTCTTACTTTTCTGATCACATAAATCGTGAGCCAAATAAGATATTGTAGGGATTTTGTAATTAGCCATCCTTGCAGAAAGTCTCCTATAATTGCTGTTGGTCCTACTTGATGAGATGTAAAGAGAGAGTTGTGTATAGAGAGAATGCTCAGGGTCCAACGCACATAGAAAAATCCTTATGTATAACTGAGATTGTACAGGTAAGTAGATGAATTCACAGATATGCATCACTTCTCTGAATTGTTTGTTCTTATTTCCATGTCTGAATGAACACTTTTTCATAAATTCAAAAAATCAACGTCTGACGCTTGTCCTGAGGATGACGACATCACACCTACCGTGAAAATATGAAAATCATGAATGTGTGGAAATTATGGGGGGAAGCAGAACTAGATGGAGCCAGTTAGAAACTGATTTGATTATTGTGAAGTAAATAAGAGCAAATAAGAGCAAACTGTATAACTAAATTTGATATCAACCGAATTTACAGGAAATTATACTTTACTGCTACTAAGAGTGATTTAACACGCAGTTCTACACCTACGCATCAGTGTTTCAGCAGTAGAATACTCCCCAAGCACTCACGTAGTCCGGGGTTCGATCCCCAGTCGATGCATGACTAAACTTTGCTGAGCTGCAGTTGGCCCGGTAGTAGGGGAAAGTTGGGCGTGAGGCTATAAACCCAATCACTGCAACTATAAAGCTGAAGCTTGGAGCCATATATTCCACTAGGAACGCGAAGGAATTATTATTTCCTTTAATTCCTAGAGGAACATGGGCTTCAGCTGTACGGATCCATTGCGTTCGGTTCTCTGCTAAAGTTTTCACCTGGCTCCAAGTCCGCCCACATGCTTTCATTTCCTCTTCATATGACGCCTCCAAGTCACCCTTGGACGACAAACTCGCCGCTTCTCTTTAGGGTTCCACTCGACCAATGGCCTAGCGTGAGATGTCACTTGATGGTTTTCTCCGAGTAATACCAATCCGCGTCCATTTCCTCCTGCAGATTTCTTGTACAACTGGTTCCTGCTGGGTTGGATCGCTCATTGCCTGAGATCCCTGTTACTGATCCTTTCTGGCCGGCCATCTGATCTTTAGCAGTATTGGGTGAAGACAGCTGTTGATGAAGGTCTGTAGTTTATTCGAAGTGCCCTTCGTGACGAGGTGCCAGGTCTCTGATCCATATAGTGAGTGGCACTGACTTCACACTGGAGTTGAAAATCCGATCATATTTTTTATTTGGAGTGCTGTTAATCTCCTCCACACAAACTTGAGGGTGATGAAACGTTACCTTGCTTTCCCGATCCTCGCTTTGATATCCTCATCAGTTTCGTCCGTCTGTATTTTCAACGATCCTGCCCAGGTCGGTAGGTAAAGGAGGTTGTTTCTTTCAGGTTCCTCCCATTTATGCTGATTGTTGTCTGTTGCTGTTGTTGCGAAGGAATAAAAGAAATTAGTAGTGGATCTACGCTGTCATATCTGTTGGTCTATGCACACTACACAAGTCGTGATCAGTAGGGTGCAGCAGGTCGGGTGTGAGGACAAATACTCGCCAAAGACATTGGCTAGGGGTCGCACCATGTTGTGAATTGGCAGAAGTCAGAATTCATGGGCTGGCCATTGAATCGGATCCCAGTGGCTTGATGGTCTGAGAGCTCGCTAGCTTTGTAACCATAAAATCCTGGGTCAGAACCCTGGCGGTGGGTGTGTAATACTGAAGAGTCCTAGACTAGAATGAAACAGATGTCCAGTACCAATGGTTCTCTTACCAATGTCAGCTCATGATGAAATCCTGTAACCAAAAAATATATATTTAGTTTCCAGTAATATTCACATATTACTTACTTGAATAGCTGTAATTGTCAACTGGACCAGGCCACCATATAGTTGTTTGTCCAACATCATTATTAGCCCAACACCAAAATAGAATAGGACCAGATTTAACAAGATCCGGTTTCTCCATTTCAGAGTCAGTATTTATTGATCTACGTCGACGTTCTAATACTTCCCATGGTCCATAACTGCCTATTTCATTATCGCTTAACATAGAAAAATCTGAAAGAACATTTGCTTTACCAACTTCTTCAACTTGTCGAATGATATATGCAGCCCATTGTGGTTGCGTCCATGCCCAGATTAAATTTTTAGATTTTACTAATGGATATGCGACAAGAATTTCACAAGCATTTGTCCAATTCGAATTTGTATGTTCCTCGAGAATTGGTGTTGTACACAGACTACTTGTACATGTATATCGACCAGAAGAATTACTTGGAGGAATTGGTGGAGGATCATGAACCAAACGTAAAATTGGAGGCACTAAAATTGAAAAGATATATACATTTAAAATCATAAGAATAAACTATGTAGAGTAATACTAAGCTCACACACACACACAACTGAAGTTGTTTCCAGTCAATGAAATTATTTGATTAAATATAAAAAAATCTCATTTTAACTGATTAAAAATGTCGATTAAAATTTTCAAAAGAATGATGACTGAACAAAGAATACTCTTTTCGATAATTTCATTATGAGGTTCTACTGTTATATATACATTATAGTAAATGAATGAACTAAGGTTATGAAGAAAAAATGAAGGTGTCATCCACACACCGGTGCCTTCATTAGCTGTGATAATGATTCAGATAGGAGTACAGTAATAATTACTGAATTCAATGAAGTACATTCTGCTATGAAATTCATATGCGAAGAGGAATCCCCAAATAGAATCGCCTTCCTGGATGTCCTACTTACACGAAAACCAGATGGTAGGTGATATGTACCCACATATATATATTTATGTGTGTGTGTATGTTGGTCTCTCTTTCTGGTTGCTCTCTTAGTCTGTGACCATTTCACTTGTATGAACTTGTCTCCTTTAACAATGTATATTCTCCTTATATTATATTATATATAATATGAGTGTTTGTTGACAGTCCGTTGCTTGGTGACATATATCCATATGTGGTGGTTGTTGACATGTCTGCTATATTTCGCTATGTATATATGGATCGATACTTCATTATAATTAGCCATTCATGTTAAGACTGTCTAATGATTGTTCACACCCTTGTCATATATATTTCGCATTCACAATTTGTGTGACTTACACTTACTCACTTTGGTGTGATACCACTTATTTGCTTCTACTTGTGTTGGAAAATAGAAGTATCATCGCAAACCTAGTGGTCTTCTGATTTCCGCCTTCTTGCGTCCGGACTATTAGTTTCTCGACCAGTCCATAACAATAATTTAGCGACGAGTACATAACAGTAGGATAAAAAGAAATTTGTATAGAAAAAGTACTTGGACAGGACAATATACACATTTTCACAGTTTCGTTCCTCTCAAGTACAAAAGAAATTTACTGAAGACCCTCAGCCACAGAGTTAGAGCTATATGCTCAGTAGAAGTAACTGAAGATGAATTAAGCATTGCATATGATACCTTGATTAAAAACAGCTATTCCGACAAATTTATCAAGAAACATATGACAAAGGAAGAGGAAAAGGACTATTCATTATCTGTAAAGAAGAAGCCTTTATACATGCGACTGCAATTCAAGACCGATATACCAAGCGAAATAATTACGAAGAAGTTAACGAAATCAGTATAAAGAAATTTTAATGCCGGTGAACTACACGTATTATTCTCTACACGACCGATAATGATTCTTCGATTGAAAGATGAAGTACCGAGACTAGTCACTTCAAGCTGTATCTACAGATTCAACTGTGCTTGCAGAGAGAGTTATATTGGCCGTTTCTCTAGGAACTTGATTTTTCGTGCTCGCTCGAGAACATATCCCACTATGGCTAAGTAAAGGTGTAGTAAAAACCACCAACAGTTCGATATTGGACCCTCTGATCCGAACCGGCCATAAATCCAGCATTGAAGTATTCCTCTCTATCATCTATCGGGTACAAAATAAATTGCCAAAATCCTCAAGGTAGCGAATGCTCCAAACAATAGAGGTTATCGCGATTCTCCCTAACACAACCAGTGCTCTGTATTCAGAAGAAGCAAAGTCTAGACACTCCTAATGCCCTGATCGGTTTTCAGTGGAGACTATAAACTCATGGAATTGTATTATTATCTTTCCTAATTTTACTGGCATCCAGTTTATTGTTCTGTTGATGCTACTGAACTGTTATCTATTGATATTATTGATTTGATGTTAATTAAACATTCATGTTGTTCAACATAGCGAAAATATTCATTCAGACATCTATAAAAGCAAAATGACTGAGCAAAGAATATCCTTTCCGATAAATTTCTCTTCTGGAGCTAAAATTATATATATGTTTATATACATAGAATATTCTAGATTAGTAGTCAATAATAATATTAGTGTTTTTTAAATAATATCGATTTGTAAAGTAAGATCACAGTGGAATTAGAGTTCACGAAAGATGCTTAAATAATGATAATAAAGATATAATAGCGAATAGAATATCAACTAAAACTAAGGAAATTTCTTTACAAAATTGAGGATCATTTGAACCTATATGGTCAAGGTAAGGAATATATTTGAACTAGCTTCTTTTGGAGGCATATATTAGGCTTCTTAATGTGGATTCCTACCGCCTCAGCAATATTTAGTAGACGAAATCTTAAGGTGAAGTTAAGATTTGTTGATATGCGGTAAATAACTTTGAAAGCCATCTCGTTAACATCAGTGTTGTGTTCTGTATCCAAAAGATGAGATAGAATACAGCTACGAATAGATTTTGTTTGTCCTTTACTTAACCACACAGGGAGGTGTTCGGAAATTCGACGATGTTCTTCATAACACTAATTCATTCATTCACTATATTATATATACATAACTGTAGAGCCTGTTGATGAAGTTATCGAAAAGAGTATTCTTTGTTCAGTATGGGTTCTTTTGAAAATATAATTTTCCTGTAAGGGTGGGACGAATGACTTAGGCGCTTGAATTTTGACCACACAGTTGTAGATATCAAAGGAAGGATCGGATCGGAATAGCAATACAGGCTTTTATTACTCCGAAACCATTGTGGGAAACTAATGTACTGAGCATAAGGAACAAGTTCAGGATCTTCAACTCAAATGTCGAATTAGTCGTACTATATGATTCACACAATTGGAGCTCGTCAGCATAAGCATTTCTAACAGCCTGTTGGGGACTTCCATCAACAGCTTTCTTCACTACATACTGAAGATTAGATGGTCAACCAAAAAGGAGAGGTAACAAGGCAATTTGAGAGTGAACTAACCAAGAACCTAGCGCCCAACAAATATTCAGAAAGAAGGACAGACATGGATTCAAAACATGCTGAGAATACCGTCGAGTGACATCATACGGTACGCCCTGCAATAGAATCCGAATGAGGAAACGATAACTGAAGCGTTCGAACATAACATGAAGAATATCATGTGAAGTGTGCCGTTGAATCCCTGTGTTCTACTTGGGACCGAAGGGAATAATAATAAAAACTACATTGCCAGAACGTCTCAAATGTGGCTCACTGATTGACTATACGGAAAATCTCAGTGTCCTTGATAAACTTAGTGCACCCAGCAGGCTGTCCACCAACGGAGAGGGCTGTTGAGTGGCTGCGCCACAGGATGATACTGCATGCCTGCCTCGTCTCACAAGAGACAGGGATAGATGTGTTCGGTCACCCTGAAAACCAATACCCAGTCGATGGGTGTACCATTATTTGAATTGTGTTGGTGGCACAGGGGGAGAATGCTCGCCAACCACATATGTGGACCAAGGTTAGATTCCCGGCCACCGACGCACTCCTTTACTTCGTTAAGCCAGTAATAAAGCTGGTAAAGAGGAAAGGTTGGGCATGAGGCTAGTAACCCCATCCTGTAAAAATAATCACTACTGCTACAGAAACTTCAAGCCTCCAGCTTAAAACCCTATATTCCACTGGGAACATAAGGGAATAAAAAATTAGAAAAACCTAGTAGGCAAACATTAGTCAAGCAAATTCTTAATTAAGCTGTCTCGTTTGCTGTATGATTCAATAATAACACTTAAACTGTAATCAATCTTATGTATGACCTTCACACGTCAGTTTTCATCAAAATCTGTATAAAATCCTTTCAGGTGACACTTAGATACATTAGAAGTGAACTTTGTGAATAGCTGAAAGAAAAGTCATAGCTCAGTTAATGCAGAAACAACCACTCCAATAGCAAACAAAAACAGGCAACATTTTAACTCAAATAGTCGAGACAGCATTGATCTTATCAACGCAGTAGGCATATATATAATACTGACGGGTAATATTTACTTCTTCGATTTCCTCTCTATGGAGTCGGTTTACAATCATTTGATGTCATGGGATCCAGTGAACATGTTAACCAACCTAGAGGATAGACAGTAATCGATAAAATAATAATAATAGTCTACTTTATTCCAAAAACAGGACTGATAATGCAGAATGGAATTCTAACAATGACTATGGATGTGATACTTAAGTCGTTAAAATAGCGTAAGTAATACCGGAGCTTTAGAAGTTCATTCATTGGCTTAAGCACTAGATTTTCAGCTGACTGGTTATGAGTTCAAAGACCTATTCCACTTACATCAGCGTAGCCATCTGGATAGTATTATCAACCCTTACATGAAAAGTGTGTCTCTTAACCTGGTACATGAAAAATCTGTTCCAGGTAATTAATAATAATAATAATTTACTTTATTCCAAAAAACACGACTGATAATACAGAATGGAATTCTCAGCATTTTTCACAATATCTTGCATCTGATTTACTTAAAATATGAATAAAATTAAAAATTAAAACAAAATTAACCACAGGAATCTGTCTACATTTTCGATATAAAGTCAAAAATATTCCAAGTACGAAGTGGGAATAATAAAAAAATAATAATAATGACAGTGAGTCTGTTTCAAACAGTATTGTCGATTCAGTTTGGAAATTTTAACATGTTACTATACAGTATTGAATCTAATGTTCTGTTGATATGGTATAGTGAGGGGAAAGACAAAATTAACAGTTATTAACACAGCTTAAACGATGTTTACACTTATGAAAAAATAAACAAAAACAAGAAATTGAGTGGATTATAAATGTAAGAACAATAACAATTAAGGTTGATGTTGTAAAGGTGGAGGAAATGGTTTCTTTAATAGTGCAAAGAAGGTTAGTTAGTTCATGCCTAACACTATTTTCATTACATAAAGTATGTGCCAAGTATGGTATATTGGAATTTTCATACTTAGACTTGTGTGTATAAAGTCTTCTGAAAAGACTTCTTGTTTTGCCTGAGGAGACACAAGGTGACAGCTTTGAGTGCTGCAGTAGATGCTCACAGT